ACAGTGAGTGACCCTTACCCTGAATAAACACTGACTCTGTACAGTTATACAGTGAGTGACCCTTACCCTGCTGAATGTACACTGACTCTGTATAGTTACAGCAGAGATTAATTTACTTTGAAGTTCAGTTTTAAATATTGAAAGCCTTCTGACTTGTGTTTGCATACACTGCTTATAATTTGAGACTGAGGACATCAAACGAAACAAGTTGTGTGAAAACAATAGCATTCCCAATTCTGTTCCCGTTTCTGTGAAGATGAAACACTCACATTCAATTCAATTATCCACAAGAGCGAAACAAACAGCAGGTCAAAAGTTACAAAGAGGCAGAAAGTCCTGCGGACATCAGAGATTGCTTTCTTTTCGTCAAGTGACTGACACTGCGCTGGCAGCCCAGACTGGCCCTGAAACTGTGAAGTATTGATTGAAGAAATGGTTGGGAGACTCTGCTCAAGTCGTTCCATCCTGGGTTCTCCTTTCTATCAGACATTAGGTCCCTGAGTAAAAGGTAATTCTGCAAAACAAACAAAAGCCATGAGAACATGAGAGATGCACACCTAGGGGGAACAAAGTCATTCTGATCCTGCCCACACAGTGTTTCCTTCAATTGTTCAATCAAACTGCTGGGGATAATCAATCATTTTTTCACTCCAACCCTGTCTCCAGTCAGAGTTCACTATTTGCCCGGACATGGTCCCAGCTCATTCAAAGATCTGAAGCTCCCTGGTTTACAGTCATCGTACTTCAGAACTAAGTCATTACCTGAAACAATTTTATTGTTTCTTTTACCCTGATCCGGTACTTTGTAAATACAAGTATCGGTATAATACTTCAGTTAACACAAGTAGTAGTAGTAAAGTGTGTTCAATCAAAGGATAACACCTCATCTAAGTAAATATGCTGAAAATTTGATCGGACCATGTTCTTGAATATGTATTGAGCAAACACTCCTCCAGTTTTATTACACAGAATCATGTGCTCACACGTAGCACACAGAAAATTGGCATTTTTCCAGTTTCTGATTGCACAATCTATTGCAAGGACAGTAACACACAAGGCACATCTGCAGATTAGCAAAGAAATCAAGAACTGATGTCTATTGTCATTGTCAGGTTTCTGACACACCAGGACTGAAATGAACCAGTTACCGATGACATTCTCACAAGTCGTGATCCTGTGGACAGCCTGGCCTGGTGTGTAGTGTTGGTAGCCACTCAGGATTGGCACAGGATAACGCCACACACATGGTTTCTATACAGCAACCATTTTAAGAATGTGATCACTGGTAGCAGCTCCTCATTGCAACAACAACTGACAGGCCAACACACTGTGATTGCAGAATCTGGAGTTAAATACACAAGCAGAGAGCCAGGCACCAGTACCTGTGTCTGTGGATTGCCTTCTCTTGATTCTAGCACAGTTTCAGCTCAGATGCTCACACGAATTCCAACTGTTTCAAATCCACCCAAAGTTACAGGTAGTTCCAAGAGGTACAACACTGCACTCACAGCTGCTCTCACCATGTCTGTACTCGATGCCACACACCACCACATGCACACTTCCTCACCATCAGCACCACTTCAAAACTGCCTTGAACCCTGGTTCCATTTCATTCTTCGTCTCATTTGACGCTTTAATTAGAAACATTTTCTCTTATCACAAGCTCCAAAATCCTCAGGTACCAACATCCCTTTTGATTTTCACTCCCCTCCCCTTCGACTCCATCCCTTCTTCTACTTCCACGCCTTGCTACGTATTCACTATAGTCTCTGGCCATCATCCCTCTGAGGATGAACAATTCGTGCTCAGCAAAGAACTTAGTTTTCTTTCTTTATGCCTCCACCTCAATGAATTTTGGACATGACATGACATTGAACTCTACTTCTGTCACCTTCGCCTCCGTTCCTACTCCGTTGGACAGGAGAACTCTCCCTGCCACACAGACCCTTCATCTGTCTCCAGCCCTACCCCTCCTGTGGGGACCTTCCCTCTGGCCTCTTATTTGTACTTGATTTCTTCATTGAGACAGCCAATGTGACATCAGCCACCTTCATTTCTCTGCTCCCCTCCCTCACTCTGACCTGTTGCCCTTTGAACTTGCTGCACTCTCTTCTCTCTTGTTACCGCTGATAAGGGCAGTGCTGTTGTGGTCTGGCGTGCTGACTTCCAACTGGCAGAGGCTGAATGCCAACTCTCAGGTACTTCCTCCCATCTCCCCCGGTGAACATGAGGCTATTATTTCCAGGACCGTTATTGACCTCATTTCCTCTAGAGATCTCCCCTCCGCAGCTTCGCACTTCATAGTCCCCAACCCCACATTGCCCACTAAAACAAAAACTGCAGATGCTGGAGATCTGAAACAATAACAGAAATTGTTGTAGAAACTCATCTGGTCTGGCAGTTTATGGGGAAGAAGGCAAAGTTAACGTTTTGAGTCCAGTAACTTTTCATCAGAACTGTTAGCAATTTGAAAAAAGTGGTATTTAGGCTAAAGCCAAATTTTTTTTGGGGGAGGGTTCTGTGAGCAAATATATGGAAATAGAGCTCAGAGAGAAAAAAGAGAGAGAGAAAGAGAGAGAGAGGAGAGACAGAAGAGCGAGAGAGCGAAAGAGCGAGAGAGCGAGAAGGGGTAGGTAGACCAGGGCAGAAGCGAAGCTGAATAAGTGATAATAAGAGCTAAGAGTATGAGAGAATGGGTACTGAATTTACTTTGAAGTTCAGTTTTAAATATAGAAAGCTTTCTGACTTGTGTTTGTATACACTGAGCTATAGTGAATGCAACCCACATAATGTGCATCAGCATAAATACATTTTCCTAGCTGCTAACAGGTCCAATGAAGAGTCACTGGACTTAAAATATTAACTCTGCTTTCTTCCCACAGATGCTGCCAGACCTGCTAAGTTTCTCCAGCAATTTCTATTTTTGTTTCAGCTCACTTTCTACCTTTTCAAAGGCAAAGGTGGGTATGTTTGCTGATGATTGAGCAATGTTCAGCAGCATTAACAACTCCTCAGATACTGAAGCAGTCCATGTCCAAATGCAACAAGACCTGGAAAGGCCTGGGGCGACCAAGTGACAAGTAACATTTGTGCTACACAAATGCAGGCAATAACCATTCCAACAAGGGAGAATCTAACCTTTACCTATTCACATTCATTGGTATTTCCAGTTCTGACTTCCCCACAATCAACATCCTGAAGTTAATCATTGACCAGAAACTGAACTGAAGTAGCCACATAAACACTGAGGCTACCCACTCTGGTCCAAAGCCAGGAATCCTTTGGCAAGTAACACACTTTCTGACTCCCCAAAGCCTGTCCACCATCTACAAAGTACAAGTCAGGAGTGTAATGGGATACTCTCCACTTGCCTGGATGGGTGCAGCTGTAACAGCACTCAAGAAGCTTGATACGATCCAGGAAAAAGCAGCCCGCTTGACTGGCACTACATCCACAAATATCCACTCCTTCCACCACTGACATTCAGTAGCAGCAGAGTGTACCATCTACAAGATGCACTGCAGAAATTTGCCGAGGCTTCTTAGAAAGCAACTTCCAAACCCACGATCATTACCATCTAGAAAGACAAGGGCAGCTAATATATGGGAACACCACTGGCTGCAAGTTTTCCTCCAAGCCACTCACCACCATGACTTTGAAATATGTTGCCATTCTTTCACTGTTGCCGAGTCATAATCCTGGAACTTTGCTTCCAACGGCATTGTGAACGTATCTACACCAAATGGACAGCAGTGGTTCAGAAGGCAGCTCATTACCACTTTCTCCAGGCAGATGTCAACATCCCATATCTGAATTTAAAAAAAAGTTCCTCCTCCTTCTTTGTCAACAACATAAAAACCCCAATTTCCAGTTCCTTTTTATCTCTGAACAGAAGTAATATTTGACTTGAAGCATTACATTCTTTCCTCTCTCCTCAGATAGAGTCCTAGAGTCATACACAATGGAAACAGACCCTTCGGTCCAACACATCCGTGCTGACCAGGTTTCCCAAAATAAACTAGTCCCATTTACCTGCAATTGGCCCATATCCGTCTAAACTTTTCCTATTCACGTACCTGTCCAATGTCTGTTAACTGTTGTAACTGTACCTGCAACTACCACTTCCTCTGGCAGTTCACACACACAACCACTTTCAGTGTAAAAAAACTGCCTTGAGGTCCCTTTTAAATATTTCTCCTCTGACCTTAAAAATAAGCCCTCTACTTTTGAACTCTCCTACCCTCGGGAAAAGGCCTTTGTTATTCACCTTATCTATGCCCCTCACGATTTTATGAGAGTTTCTCCAGCACTTTATGTTATTATAGGCTTCAGCTCTGTTTCTACTTAGTCAACCTCCTACACCATCCGACATTAAACTGGTTCACAGATAGTAGGAACTGCAGATGCTGGAGAATCTGAGATAACAAGGTGTAGAGCTGGATGAACACACCAGGCCAAGCAGCATCCGAAGAGCAGGAAAGCTGACGTTTCGGGCCTAGACCCTTCTTCAGAAATGGGAGAGGGAAAGTGGGTTCTGAAATAAATAGGGAGAGAGGGGGAGGCGGATAGAAGATGGATAAAGGAGAAGATAGGTGGAGAGGAGACAGACAGGTCAAAGAGGTGGGGATGGAGCCAGTAAAGGTGAGTGTAGGTGGGGAGTTAGGGAGGGGATAGGTCAGTCCAGGGAGGACGGACAGGTCAAGGGGACGGGATGAGGCTAGTAGGTAGGAGATGGGGGTGGGGCTTGAGGTGGGAGGAGGGGATAGGTGGGAGGAAGGACAGGTTAGGGAGGCGGGGACAAGATGGGCTGGTTTTGGGATGTGGTAGGGGGAGGAGAGATTTTGAAGCTTGTGAAGTCCACATTGGTACCAATGGGCTGCAGGGTTCCCAAGCGAAATATGAGGTGCTGTTCCTGCAACCTTCGGGTGGCATCGTTGTGGTACTGCAGGAGGCCCAGGATGGACATGTCGTCTGAGGAATGGGAGGGGGAGTTGAAATGGTTCGCGACTGGGAGGTGCAGTTGTTTAGTGCGAACCGAGCGTAGGTGTTCCGCAAAGCGGTCCCCAAGCCTCCGCTTGGTTTCCCCGATGTAGAGGAGGCCACAACGGGAACAGTGGATACAGTATACCACATTAGCAGATGTGCAGGTGAACATCTGCTTGATGTGGAAAATCTTCTTGGGGCCGGTGAGGGGGGAGGTGTAGGGGGGAGGTGTAGCACCTCCTGCGGTTGCAGGCAAAAGTGCCGGGTGTGGTGGGGCTGGAGGGAAGTGTGGAACAGACATGGGAGTCACGGAGAGAGTGGTCCCTCCGGAAAGCAGATAAGGGTGGGGAGGGAAAAATGTCTTTGGTCGTGGGGTCGGATTGCAGATGGTGGAAGTGTCGGAGGATGATACGTTGGATCCGGAGGTTGGTGGGGTGGTACATGAGGACGAGGGGGATTCTGGTTTGGTTGTTATTGCGGGGAGGGGGTGTGAGGATTGAGTTGCAGGAAATGCGGGAGACACGGTCAAGGGCATTGTCGACCGCTTGGGGGGGGGGGGGAAGCTTCACAAGCTTCAAAATCTCCCCTCTCCCAACCGCATCCCAAAACCAGCCCAGCTTGTCCCTGCCTCCTTAACCTGTCCTTCCTCCCACCTATCCTCTCCTCCCACCTCAAGCCCCACCCCCATCTCCTACCTACTAACCTCATCCCGCCCCCTTGGCCTGTTTGTCCTCCCTGGACTGACCTATCCCTCCTCTCCACCTATCTTCTCCTCTATCCGCCTCCCCCGTCTCCCTATTTATTTCAGAACCCCATGCCCCTCCCCCATTTCTGAAGAAGGGTCTAGGCCCAAAACGTCAGCTTTCCTGCTCCTCTGATGCTGCTTGGCCTGCTGTGTTCATCCAGCTCTACACCTCGACATTAAACTG